AATTTCAGAAGTAAGTTAGTATTGTATGCATTGTGTGGTGGGGGGAAGCACTTCCACTTGGGAAAAGCTGGTTGATTTTGAGCACTTGTGTTAGGGAGATTGCAGTACAGTTTTTTGATAAGTGAAAGATCTGTTATGTATAGGGCTCAGCTTTTAGCTTCATTGTTCATACAGAACACTTCTGGTTATTGAAACAAAAACTAATAAGAAACAGTGACTTTTTCTGGTCTTTTAGCACTTCAGTTTTATTGTAGCTGTCATACTTTGTTTCCTTAAGTTTAGCCTGCAGTTGTATCTTAAGCATGTTTATAGCAAGTAAGTCAAGGAGTCTCCTTTTCCATTATCTTTCTAGGGAATGTTTTTTTAAGTGTGTATTTTCTTGTTTGTTTTCCTTTGAGCAGTTAGGATGAGGTGAAGGCACTTACCACTTTAATGATGCACAGGTAGTTACTTGCTGTTTGCCACACCAGAATATAATAATTAACACTCTTCCTTGCATTTTCATGTCCGTAGATTTTCTGTTAATGACTCATCCTAAGAAACTTCACATAATTGACTGCTGTTTCGTATGGACCCAGTGAAACCCACCAAAACTACTTCAAGCTTGGCAGTGCTTAGCTCATGAGCTCCTTGTGCCTTTTGGATCTTTGCAACATATTGATGGTGATTTGAGGATTTGAAAGAACCTACTCAACTATTTTGTGGCAGTGCACATGGTTTTATATTTTCAGGAAATTATTTTGTAAAGAACAACTTTTAATATTGTAGTTTCACCTGTTTAATCTGATAAAAGTTGAGGTGCAGTTTTGCTTTTAGAAATAACCATTACTTTAGTTAATAGAAAGTGCAAGTACAGTATGTTTTGATGCTATTTTGTTCCTGTACACAGGGATGTACAGGTCTTTTGTATTCATGAGTTAAACTTTTGTAAATCACTAACAAGCTTCAGAGAAAATAGCTTTTTCACGAGCGTATTCAAAACGTAGTGGCAAGGTTATTGCTGTAGCACCTGCTTCAACCAGCATATAGTTATCGTGCCCTGGAAAATAAACCTGCAACAGTATCTACTATGATTCTAAATTGGTACAGTATTTTAGGCAGCTCTATGATTAAATATATTTGAGAGCAATATGTCAATAGTTTGCAGGTGATATGTAGCAACAGGTATATCCTGATGTACAGTATATGTATTACCTTTTAGAACAAGTAGTAACTCGATCTTACATCATCATGGAAGGAAAATTAAAGCAATACAGTTGAGGGGGTGGGGCTTTTGGCAATAATGGACGAAACCTGAAGTCCAATTTAATTTAATGTTTCTGCTCTGACTATATATACCTGGGTGGAAGGGAGCCAGAGAAGCCGAGCGTCGCATGATACATACCTCACAAGCAGGTATAAGCGTAACACCAGCGTTCTTTGTGGTGGTGTTGTTTCTCCTGTAAGATATTTATACACATTTTTGTTCTTAAATACATTAAATACAGTACATCAACATAATTTGTTTATAATTTTCTGGAAGTGTATTTTAAATATGTATTTACCAGTTAATATGCAAAGAGCTGAGTTATAGATATTCTTTCACAAACAGGTAGTACTGTGCAGTACGGAGTGATTTTTTTTCATAAAAAGTAGGTAAGACTATAAAGTTGCTTTCAGTTATATATTTATGGTACTGCTAGATGGGTAATCTCTTCTGTTTTGTTTTGGTTTTGTTCTTTTTTTTCTTTCTGTTTCAACCCAGTATGTATATTATGCTGAAGTTTTGAACTGGGATTGTTTTTCAGTACTTAGCTGTGGAACTGTTGGTGTAAATTTATTTTTTGATAAAGGCTGGGTGTGTTTATTTTATGGTTCAGACCTGCACATTTTGTTTTTGCACAAAAGTCATTTTAAAGAATCTGAAATATATCTGCCAAATATTGAAAAAGTAATGGTGTGCAAGTAAATACTGCATTTTTAGTCAAATGTTGCCATTACATCGTTTTTATATAAAGGACACTTGTGAGAGATGGTGGTTAGATATGCCAAGGACAATTATTTTCAATGGTGCCTACACTGTATAAAAAAAAAAAAGAAATTACTTTTAATTCCTTGTTTTAATTTTAAGAAAGTGTTTCTGTTTAAAACTTTCATCTGCTATATAACTGAAATTCGATTAGAATTTATATCTGAGAAACAAAGTCTGGAAATAGTTTTTGAAAACAATAATGTTATGGATTAAATAAATATTTTTATAAATGTAAAAGCAGCAGAAGTTGTAAATACAGTTGATCTGAAGCTTTACAGAATAACTGCATCACAGAAACAAATTGTAGTGCTCCTCTAGCTTCTGTAGTTGTTAGTCTTGTAAATCTGTTTATAGATGAAGCTTATTTCAATGTTTTGGGGGGTTTTAAATGGTTTAAAAATAAATATTTAAGTTCTGTAAACTTTCACAAGCTTGTTCTGTCGTGCGTTTTGTTCTGGATTTCTAATAGATGTGCAGAGGTGTGGATGTCCCTCTTAGAGTCTGGTATTGCTTTTCAGCAGAGTCACACAGAGCTGCGTGGTCATCCTTATTAAAAAGGTTTGGGGTCCCTCCCACCCCCATGCTGTTCTTACCCACAGAGCACCTAGCAGCTGTTGTGCAGCACAGAGTGCTGGAGAGGCAGAGCAGCTCTAGTGATCAGCTTGGTTTCAGTCCCATAGAGGTGCCTTCAGGATCAGACAAGTGTTCATGCCCTGTGACAGCCATGTGCAGATGTGGGAGTGCTGGCTTAATGGTGAGTTGGACGTTGTGGAGCGGAGGTACAGAAAGGCCTGTGCCACAGTGACCTCAGCTTCTATCTACTTCACCTGTCTCATCCTAAATCTCATTTTAAAGACCTGCAATACTGATTTCTCAGAAGTAAAAGCATGTTTTTACTTCTGTGCCAGCTTCCTTTTAAGGTGCTTTTCTTTTTTTATGAGGCCAAGTGGAGGGGTGATAGGAGTTTTTCTTGACTGTTTTAAGTGGTGGCTCTAGCCTGTGGACACAGGGTCTTTTAATCTATGCAACTCTACAACCAATTTTGGGTAGCTAGGAATAGTGAATTAAGGGGAGAAAGGAACGTGTAGTCATACCACAAATAGGACACGTTGCTGAACTATGGTGCACCCTATGAAATGGGTAGATGTATACCTACCTCTTAGGACAGTGTGTGGAGGGGAAGTTATCCGTGTTGTCGTTCTCTTACAACATCAATCCCTTTAAAACTTTATTTTACTGCATGTGGCATCTTTGCACCTAAGATCTCTGCTTCACAGGACAGTAACTCTTTAAGAATGGATGTCTGTATTACTGGTTTCCAGAGAACAGTTGACTTTTTTGCCATTATGTATTAGTTGTTGAATTGTGTAACTTAATCAGCACTGTTCTGTTGCTAGCAGATAACCAATGGGAGAAGATACCAAAATATTCAGGCAAGAGCCATCTTGCTTGGTTGGTTTGGTAGTTGTCCCACTGTAAATTGAGAAGAATTGACATTGAAGTTTATATCCTCCTTGATGAAACCCCAGTCTGATTCCTCTGATACTCTTCTGTATGGTAAGCATGTGGTATTGTGAAAACCTGTTCTTGCACTCAGTTAGGTGCCTGTAGTTGGGTAGGAGAGTATATAGATTCTTAATGTGTTTGCATAAAGCTTAGTATTTGTTAAAAGTCTGGTTTTTATCACGCTCTTTCATGACTTAACACTGGAATAAAATTATTTTCTTTGCAAAGTTGTAATGGTATATATGCTGGCTTGCCTTATTTCACCTTATTCCAAGAAACAAAGTTACACTTAACACAGAAATGAGTTAGATATTCTGAAACCTTAGCGCTCCTCCAGACTGATGTTCTTCCTATACTGTGTATGTTTTGATGTTTTATACCCTAATACATACACACATGTAGTACTGCTTGCTTGCTTAATGAGTGCATTTGCCTTTTCCTATGTACTGATGTCTTCCATCATCAGCAGTCCAAATCCTTCTGTGTCATCCCTCCATCCCCTGTTTTACCAGTAAAAGTGTGCTTAGTTGATATTCTTTCTTTTTCTTGGTGAACAGGGCTAAGATGAGGCAGTACAGGTCCCACGGTTAAGGATTTTCTTGGTTATCCCTTTGCATTTGTGCTTACTGTGATCGTTTCTTTATTTTAGTTGGTTCCAGGGAAGTTGGTTTATGTGATGAATTTAGTTTAAGATGTTAATTTCTATCCCTTTCTCAGGGCTGCTTAGTTCCTCTGCTGTTGCTGGCCATCGTGTGTGATGTGCTAAGTTACAGTGCACATGCTGTGTCTCAGAGCTCTGTGCTCAATGGAAAAAGTCCAAAAATAGTCCCCAAGTCCTTGTTTCTCCATCTCAATGTAGTTTTCCCAGCATAGTCTTGCATGCCGGAGCTGACAGTTCCTGAAGGTTTGTGCACTGTAGTTGGATGATGATGCCTTTGGTGGGACTCTGGACAACACCCAAGGTAAAGCTTATCTTGGCCTGCCTTCACACAGCTCCACGTGCTCAGGACCTAACAGTGACTGTAGATTTGCCTGTGTTCTTAAGGTATGACAGATATTTAAGGGATATTCTTTAGGGACCATGCATAGACTTTGTAGTTGCTTATTTTTTCCTTACCCTGTTAAGCATGTGAACTGTCACGCCTAAATGCTATTTCTGATATACAGCGTGGGGAAAGGGAAGAAACAACTCTTCAAATTTACCTTTTCTCTTTCTTTAATAGAGCAGTCCCAAAGCTGCATGGAGGTTCCAGGTAGTTCACAGCTTCAGCATGGAATAATCTAGAGCAAAAGCAAACTCTGCTCCACTATTGATCTAGCATGTTTCTTTGGGCAGCTGACCAAGAATGTGGCTGTTCTCAGCAGCATTTATTGAGCCATACAGTTGCTGAGACAATGAAGGCAGAGAGGTAAACGAGACCAGCAGCTCTGTGGAGCACTGAGGGCTACCAGGGAGCAGGGGAAGGTGGGTCACAGTAGAGATAAGGCAAAAAGGAAACCAAATTTCAGCTGTGAACAACTCCTTTTTATTGTCCAGCTCCTAAAACAAAAGAAAATGATGCACAGTGTGAGACAGTAACCACAAACCTAGTTCTTTGTACATCTTAATCTATTTGGTCCTTGCTTCAGCTCCTGTGTTCCTGCTGTGTTCCTGAAATCCATTCCAGTATCTCTCATAGATAGACTGTCCCTATTGTAGTCATGTCCTACAGTCTCATAGAGTTATTAAAAATCAAAGAAAAAGTAGAAAGGTAGCACCATTCTCCTGGTGGCAGAGTAGATGACTTGTAGTTGTAGGGTAATGGTTGTGTTATTACAAAAAAAAAAAAAAAGGAAGAAATGCGTGCAGCTGCTCTCAAGGACTGGGAGCATGATTGCAAGGTGAGGTAGCAGACAAGCTCTGTGCTGGGACATTGGCAGCTCCATGACCATGCTGCTCCCCTCCAAAGCTCAATGTGTGCTTCCCAGGGCCTGGAAAAACAAGATGTTTATGAACTTTCATGGGATGCTGCCTTCTTTTCCACCCAGTGTACTGATAACAGCAGCAGTGGCTGAGCTCTGAGCCAGCCAGCGAGGACTGGAGGTGGTGGCTGTGGGGGTTTGGGAGAGCCTGGCCCTTCTAGCTGGTGTTGGATCCCTGGAGGGAACAACCTGGTGACAGGGATGTGACATCTTCCTTATGTGCCACAGGAGATGGGTAATTCTGGATGCCCTCAGCTATCTGTTAAAACATCCTCTAAAGCTAATGTCACTCACACGATACAAGCCAACCCCTTGTTTCACAAACAGCAAGCAGGACCGTGATCCTTCAGCAGGCATGGCTCTGCCTGGCCTCTCCTTTTGGCAGGCATGAGGCACCTACGTGAAATACCTGGAGGCCTCCCTGCAAGTCCTCTCCTCAGCAGCACTGGTGGCCAAGGACACCTCTTCATCCTCCTCCTCCTCCAGCTGCAGGCTGCCCGAGGACAGCCGCACACGGGCCCTGGGTGCCCGCAGCACTCTGCCGTACAGGGAGCAGTAGTCAGCAGCCAGGAGGTCGGAATCGGAGTCGCTGGACTCGGTGCTGCTGCCCACATAGCGCTCAGCAGCACGCCGCAGCCCTGGCACTGCGCCCTGCTGGGCCACCAAGTGCTGCAGGATGCCGGCCTTCTGGCTGCTCAGGGCTGGGCACGGACCCAGGGGCCTGAACTCAGAGCTGTAGGGGAAGCGGATGGCCTTCATGTCCGACTGACTCCAGGAGCGCTTGGGAGGCTGTTCCTGAAGGCTGTAATCGAAGGAGCGAGCTGGCTGCCTTCTTTCTGCATCTGGGCCCATGCTGGTGCTCACAGCCCTGTGCGAGGCTTCGTGCTGCAGTTCCCCCATCCATGTGCTGCTGGGGCCCCACTTGGCCGTTTTTGTGGCCATGGGGATGCACCCACCGGCCGCTCCCTCTGCCTCCTCACTGGGCACGTGGCACAGGGGCGGTGGTGGCCTGTCTACGTAGAAGAGGAGCTGGGAGGCCGGGGTGGGTGGCAGCGGAGGGCATGGCACGTCCATGTACACCAGAGGCCTGACGCTGACCTCCCGCATGTTGCCCACTGAGGGGCTTCTGCTGCTCCCAGCAAACTTGTGGTGGGGGCGGAAGGATGTCAAGGGGTTCCTGCTGCTAAAGGGGTCGCTGGGCTCCCATGCCCGCTCCAACTCCAGCTGGGCGTAGAGCAGAGGGAAGGCGGAGCTGCTCTTGGAGTGGGGGAGGAAGGTTGGGACCACTTCAGGCCTGAAGCGCTCCAGCTCGGCAGCAAACATCATTGCTGTGGCAGATCCGCTGTGGCGGCTGTCCAGTGTGGGCTCGGAGGTGTGCACCCCGCTGGTGGTGCGGAAGGAGCCGCAGCTGCCGTAGGCCAAGCGCAGCTCCTCCACCTGTGAGACGAGGGGTGTGTGGGTGCCCAGGGGCAAAGCAGGACCAGCAGTAGGATGAAGAGCCAGGTGCTGGCTTGGCCTGTAGCTGCTCCCCACCCACCCCCTAAGGTCATACCTGCTTGGACACATCCGTCAGGAGGTCGGGGGAGGAGCGGCACTGCCTCTCATCATAGTGGGATGCATAGTGCTTCCTGCAAAGCAGAGTACATGGATGGGTACATGGCTCCAATCTTGGTCCTGCCACTTCCCCTCTCCACCCCCCTCATCTCCCTCCGCCTCCCAGTACCTTTCAAAAGGTAAGCTTTTCATCTTTGCCTTCCTCCCGTGCTCCAGCAGCTGTCTCTGCGTCCTCCCACTACAGCAGTGAGGACAGAAAGATGTGAGCAATGCCCTCAGCCTGGCCCTGGGCAGCCTCACACCAAGGTTTTCCCCTGGGCCCTTACCTGTAGCGGAAACTTGAGCCCTTGCTGCACAGAAGGGCTTTGGGCTTTGACTTGGGCTCCTCAGACAGCCGGAAGAAGGCATGGTACTCCACGCATGTCTTCCAGAAAGCCTTGCAGGCATCCCTGCTCGCCATTGTGAACTCCAACGTGTCCTTGCACAGAGTCTGCATGGCAGGGGACAAACACACAGGGCTCAGGGTGCAGGGCTCTGTTTGGCTGCTTACCCACCTAAGCCCCAGCACAGCACTTACAGCAATGTTTGCATGGAGCTTGATGAGAAAATGCTTCCTCTTGAAGCTCAGTTTGCGAATTTTGGACCAGTTGAACGTGTTAATCTTCGTATTGCCCTGCAAGGAAGGACAGAGCATTACTGTGGGACAGGACAAGCAGAGAATGCAGAAATACAACTGGGTCAGAGCTGAGCTAGCAGGTTCTGCACAAGCTGCTGCTGCAGCTCTCAGTGCTCCTCCCTGGCTCTAGGCAAGGGGCTCCAAGGGTCTGGTGTTCACTTCTAATATATCAGTTGGTTCCAAGAGTGGCAATTGATGTTCAGGGCTGAATGCTGCCTACTAAAGCTGAAACTGCAGCAGTCCGAGAGAAAACTCACAGAAGTCACAGCAGCACCCCATCCTTCCCAGCCCACAGGGCAGGTGAGTTAATGCAGAATCTGCTCTTGAAAGAAGTGCTCATCTCACCTCCATGTCCTTAACACCAGCTTGGACAGACTGCAAGCACACCTCACCTTTCTTATTGTTACGCATGGATTTGGACACAGCCACGCAAATCGAATGGTGTCACTCCGTACTACAGCACTGACTCTCCTCTTGGCTTTCTGGGAGAGCCCAGGCTGCCATGAGCTCACAGATGCTCCAATCATGCCTGCACACAGGGGGTGTTTACGGCTCTCAATAAATCATGGGGTCTGGCAGCACTAATTGCCAACTGCAGACCCACAGTTAGGATTTTTTCTGTGCTAGCAAGATGTTCCCATGTTGAAGTTAGTTGGTGTGGGAGCCGAGCGCTGTTTCACACCGGCTGCGAGGAAGTCTGTATTTATTCTGCAGCTACACTGTGATTACAGCATTATGTAATTGCACAGACAGTAGATGGCTATTTTTGCTGGAAGATTACACTGTGAGCGTGCATGACGCAGCCGTGTAACCTTTGGTGCTTACACAGACGTGCATGCAATGACAAGGGCTGTGCATGGGCACGCACTGCAGCGTACATCCCGAGCTGGCAAAGCACAGAGCCTAAGGCTGTGCCCAGAGCAGCTCCACGGTCCCAAGCTGTGTGGGACAGGGAAGGACTTGGAGCTGGCATGGGGAGAGGGGAGGATAGGAGGTGGTGCTCACCCGCAGGACCAGCACCCCCATGTGTGTCACCGCCAGGTTGATCTGCGTTCCCTCGCCATCGCTGGCAGGGTGTGGGCGAATTCCATACATCTCCAGCTTCCTGGCCACATCCAGCAGCTGGGCATCTGACTCAGCCGGCGTCTTCCCCCTGGAATCCCAAATACACCAAGAAATTGAAGGAATTAATAAAAGGTTTTAGGATGCAGGCATGCCAGGGTACTGAAAAGCTGTAGCACTGATGGAGAGGCAGAGCAGCTCTCACCTGTGCCGTCGGTGGTAGTGCATGATCTTGTTGTCCAGGTAGTCCTGGTTGGGCAGGTACCTGTGTGTGGCCAGGTGCTGCTGGTCTGTCTCCTCATGGAAGTCACCCAGCTCGGCTGTAGGGGTGCATAGGGAGAGTGAGGTTGTGGGCACTCTGCACTGCATGGCTGAGGCAATGCCCTGCAGCCCCGCTGTCCTTACACTGCAGCAGGTGGGAGACGAGCAGCGCCGCACTCTTGTCACTACAGGGCAGCCTCGCCAGTGCCAGGTCCTTCTTGATCTGCAGGGTGAAGAGGTACCTGCAGGGGGGACAGGAGCTGCCCTGAGCATGGATACTTCCATGGGACACAGAGCCAGGTGCACCTGTGCCCCTGCCCAAAGGATGGAGGAAGGGGGCATGGGAGGAGCATGCAGGCCCCCAAGGAGGATCCAGCTGGGCACACCCTGAGCAGTGTGCCCCTGCTGCTCATATGGCCATTAGTAGGTTTCAGAGCTAACATTCCTTTATGCTTCGGAGGGCATTCATGTCTCTCGGGGCTAATGTTCTGCAGAAGCACTGCGTTGATTTTATTCTTAGTTCCTGTTTGCAATGCTTTCTGTGAAATGTAAGAGCTCGCCCTGTCCATTTCAAAAATAAAATGGAGGTTCTTCTTTCAGAACACAGCTTGAGGCAAGAGCCAGATGACTGAGAGCCCAACTGCTCAAACATTTGGCAGAGAGCACATTGCATTGCCATCGAGTGGATTTTGTATAAAAACAGAGCATCAAGAAAAGATACGCATTGGGGTTTTGTTTTGTACAGCACGGGGCTCTGTCAATATTTGGGATTACCACCACCAACAGACAGATCAGATTGGATGATGGTAAGGAAATAAACACACGCGTAGTGACTGCAGAAACAAGGTGACAGGGCAGTAAGGGAGCACAGAACAAACACGGTACCTCGTCAGCTCCTCTCGCAGGTGTCCGGGGTCCACTGGGAAAAATTTCACCATAAATTTGAAAAGAACCTCCTTAGGATCTTAAAACACAACACCTTCATAAGTTTTCTTTCACGTGGCTCTGGAGAACATTCACAACCCTCTTCACACACACCTCTCCTTATGTTACTCTGCCCCTTATAGGCCTGGGGCAGAAGCCCTGAGCGCTAGGGCCTCCATCCTGCACAGACCCCACCACCATGGATGGAAATAAACAAGGAGGTGAACTCCTCAATAGCATTACAGAAAACATGGCCCAACATTACTTTAAATTGTTAAGGGTCAGGAAGGGGATTTCTGCATAGGTTCCTATGGCAGCAATGCTTTGGGTGTTGCCCTGGAGTAGTGCAGCTGCCATTGGGGCTGCATGTTAAACCCTCAGCAAGATCAATGGGCTTTCCCTGGCCCTTTGAGCCACTGGGATGCACCAGCATCCATCTGGGCAAAGCTATCCTGTGACACAAGCAAGAGCAAGCAGCCAAACCCAAGGCAAAGCACATGGAGGTAGGAAGTCAACTCTGTAGGCACCAAGAGAGCCACTGCAGGACAGCTCCAGGACTCCCCATAGAAACACAGGGTCATGCACAGCCCTATGATTTTGACCACTTCCTAACCATCGTGTTTGTGGCAAATATCATTTGGTTCATTGCAGGCTGAAGGAGGGGCTGTGTTAGCACTGCTCATGCATTCAGGTCGGGCTGCAGAGCATCACCAAGCAGCAATGGGGCCTTGGGTCTGGGAGGGAGTGGGGTCACTGTGTGCTGAATGCCTTACAGCTGGGCACCTGGGCTGCAAAGAGCTGCAAATGGGAAAGGAGGGCATTCAGAAAGCAATCCCCACTGCTCTGCCAGCCCAGCAATGCACACACACAGCCACCCCAGCTGTTGGGATATGAACAGCTCAAGCCTAAAACATGCAGCTAGCACTTTGCAGAAACATTTCTGAAAGGGTTCGTGTGTCTTTGCAAACAACCCTGCCCAGCCTCAACCCATTAAGGGAGGGCAGGTAAACACCAGAAGGCAAAGCTCCCACCCCCAAGAACAAAGAAGGACAGCAGAGTGCAGCGCTGTCTGCTTCCGCAATGCTTGAGAAGAACCTCATTCTGGCAATACTTACTTTTAATTTGCTTTGTTATGGGCTTTAGAGGCTCCAACCAGACCTGAAACAAGGTAACAAAGAGCTGTCAGCAAACAGCACCAGGGCAGCAGAAATGAAAGCAGCAGCTTTGTGATGGGATGCCATAAAGGAGCGCTGGCCAGTGTGGGGCTATCCTGCATTGCCACAGGTGGCTATGGGGAAACCCCATGAGCAAACTGTGGTTGTCCCCAGGGCTTCGTCAGCCTGGCTGTGGCCCGCAGCTCCCATTTTCAAGGTATTCCCATCTCCATTTTCCACACAGTGCCCCGATGCAGGACGCTGCTGCCACGCTATGGGCACAGTGCACACACTCACGTGGTTCCCAGCCTGGCTGCAGAACTCCAGCCCGAAGTATTCTTTCTCCACGAGGTTGAGGTGGCTGCAGGTGAGGTTGAACAGCCCCTTCCCGCAGGACTTTTGCTGGTGAGCAAATACATGGAGAAGCAACAGGTTAGCAGTGCTGACAGCATTAGGGAGGGGGGATTCAGGGAGGTTGGGAAGTTGTTCATCCCCTTCCCTTCTGCTGAGACGGGCTGTGGGTTGGTTTGTTACTATGCCACAGCAAAACCTTACTCAGTAAATGTCTTTGTTAGATGGGATGGGACAATTGCAGCTTTATGCCACTTATCTTGGCTCGTGGAGGTCAGATTTCTCCCCAGCACTTCTCACCTTTCCTTAGGAACTTGATAAACTGGGAGAGAACTCTCAGTCTCAGGACACCTGTTGCAGTCACTGCTGTTGGGATTGGAGCTGCAGACACTACCTGGGTGCCCCCACAGCTGGGCACAATGAGCTGCAATCAGTGGTAATTAACAGCACCAGACCCTGCAGAGATCCTGCACCCTGGGTCAGCAAAGTGCTGATGAAGTAGCACCATGCTCTGACACAGGAGGCCAGAAAGCACCAAAACTGTACAGGGCACGGAGCAAAAACCAGGAAAAACTCAATTCCTAAGTTATTAACTTGGGCAGAGACACCCAGGAACACAGACAGGCCGGCACAGGGGCAGCTCAGGGTTCCGTGGGGGTGCTGTGGATGGCTCAGGGCTCAGTAATGAGCACCTGTCACAGCTGCTGCCAGCTCTGCACGGTCAGCCTGCTGCAAAGTGATAGCCTAATAACAGCATTTGCTCTGCAGCACACCCGGTTCTCCTCGAAATTACAAGATCTCAAGGCTAATTAAAAACAATTATAAGGGTTGATTTCTAAGCTAGAATTTTCCAGCATGAAAGGCCTTGGCCTTTGTCAGGTGTACGGGGAAGATGGGCACATCCCAGCGGGTTGTTACCCACCCGTGTGTGGGCAGAGAGCTGCTGGCTGGGCTGGGTGCACACAGCTGCTGCACAGGGCTGGGCTGCACCCCACATCCCTAAATGTGCCCTTGGAGCTGCCTGTGGGGCTGCTGCAGGGCACAGCAGTGGGGATGGTGGAAAGGAGAGGCTGTGTTCGCCTTCCCTCTCCACACTGCAAGCAGCAGAGCAGCCCAGTGCCCTCAGTGCCAGGCAGCCACTCACTGATGCCTTCCCCTGCCCCAGAGCACTGTTACGCTGATTTGTAACCAGCCCTGCCATGTTTTTTTCTCTGCTGTCCTTCTCCTCCCATTATACTGAAGTGCTCTCCATTGAAAAAAGCTTTCCAAACTCGGGAAGGGCTTAGGATAAGTCTCTCGAAATGCGTGCTCAAGACTTAGCCCAAAGCGGTCCCTTTCTAATGGAGAAGTCTCTAATCCAGTTCTCATTTATCTGAACCACACAGCATGAAACACACAAAGTGCCCCAAAGGGATTTCCAGGACCCTTCCACGCTAAAATAGGAAATGGCTCCGAGTCTCTCTAATGGAACCTATTTGTTGCCCTATAGTGTGCAGAGGCACAGGACTGCATTTTGAGCAAAGAAGAGAGCAGAGATGGATAAAATGCAGCAATACTGTAACAGCAGCATCTTTCCAATGGTCTCTCACCGTGCCCTGATCTAACCAATACGAATCCCTGGCAAACATCTGTGAATGACCACTCTCATTTTTAAGAAAAACTCAGGTCTAAAACGCATCAAAGAAACCAAATCACATGACTTCCATGTCATTCTAAATGAAGAAATTACTTTGCAACCCTCTTTGTGCAGAATCGCTGTCACAAAGAAACTGAACAGCACATCAAGACTGAGCAGTGATCTATAAAGAGAACAGAAGTGCCTAAGATCTGCAACAGAACATTAAAAAACGAATTTTATATTAAACACAGCAGTCCCAAAATAGATGCAGGTAAAGGTTAGAACAGATTCATTTGGCTTATCTCATTCAATCAGCTGCTGTGGTTAACAAAGCCCAACCAACAGCTCAGTCCCACTTCCAGCACACAGACAGGGCATCGATCACATTGAGTTTCAGTCATCCATGTACACACACACCCATCTAACACCTCTGATATCAATGTCTGACATTTAAAACGTATTTCAGCAGTGGATATTCAGAGCTGGTATTCATTACCTGTGAATTATCAGTAACAGTGTGCTTTGGGACACTGCCATGTAAAAACAAGATACGGTCAGCTTGCTCCTCAGCTATTCCCCAAACCACACACTTTTCTTTTTCATCCTGATGCCCAAGGAGAGATGCACACAGACGTTTCTCACCACAGGCTGTGTAGTTCAAGCTGCAATTTTCATGCTGTTCTCAGACTTATTTTTGCTTTTTGGATGCCAACACAGCAGCCAGACAAATGAGAGCACCCCATCCCCCACCCAGAGCATCACCTCACCTTCCCCAATATCCAAAAGATAACACCAGATAAGCATTCCTCTTTCTCTATAAGATACCCACTTACGTCCACTACAAAGATCTTCTGGGAGTCATCCAGGAACTGGACCTTCAGATGCAGCATCCTGGAGCCAGGCAGGCGCAGAGCCCTATTGCTGTGAGCAGTGTGCAGGGCAGAGAGCCTCCTCTGCTCGCTCACACTGCATCCTCCCCACAGCTGGGTGCAGGGCTGCACGCACAGATGGGCAGGGGAGGCTGCAGCAAGGGCACGGAATGCCTGAGAGTGGGCTGAACGGCATCGCTGTGCTGAAGGATTCTTCCCCCTGTGAACTGTGCTTCTCTTGCTATGGGAGAAGGCTGAGCACCGACGCCGTGTGGTGCTGATGGGGCTGGCACAGAGACTGCTAACACAGAGTTTTACAGATACTGGTGAGAAATGGGAAGGCGAAGCGAGGGCAGGAGTCACACAGCAGGGTCGGGAGAAATGGCAGAGTGGTTTTGCTGTGAAGTTTGGCTGTGCTTTGCTCTGCCTCACTGCAAGCAACCAGCCGGCCAGCAGCACTGGGATGATTCACCTGAGCCCCCAAAATGCTTCGTGCTGAACCAAACCCTGTGGGAGCCCTTCTTGGGGATGCAGAGCAGAGCTTGGGGCTTTCCCCCAATACCAGCTGAAAGCTGTGTCCCAGGCACACGAGCCATGACCCTATAACTGCAAGACAGAGAAATACTGGGACAGGAGGTCCAGGCAAACCCCCTCCTGCTGCTGCGCTGACTCTGTGTGCAAGCACAGCCACCTCCTGCCAGCAAGGACCTTTCCAGCTCCAGAGAAGGATTCCTAGACTGTCAGTTCCTGAATAGCTGCTGGTGGCAGCTGGGGACCCATGTGTGCAGGGGAAGAAAGAGGAAGCAAAAGGAAAGGCTTTCCTCTGGGCTAACTCAGCAGGCGGCTGCCAGTGAGTGCTGTTATACACAACACCTCATCAATTTGTTGTTGAGAAAAGAGTACAGTTGTCTGACAGGGCTGAAAAGCACCAACAGCTAGCCCTGACTAAGAGAAGCTCCTTAACTGTTTAACAAGGACAATTATTTCTCATTGTTTCCCCAAGTCATTTTGGTTTGAGCACATCTCAATCGACTCAGCCAAAAGTTCTGCCCTTCCTAAAACTTCTGAGCCAGAACCACCCTATTTATTGAACACAATAACGATGCATTTGCATTTCCATCAAACTTTGCTTGCTCAGCATCAGCAAAATAGTTTGATGTTATTATTCAGAAGTCATTGCTGGGAAATGGAAGTGGTCACATTGTTAATTCTGTGCTTTAGGTTCAGGATCATCAGCTATGAACCACCTGTGCTTTACCACCAGAAGATGACATTGCAGCAACACTTCTCTCTCCAGTTTGCCCCAGTTCTCCCCAGAAGGAGCCGTGCTGAGCATAAAGGAGAGCTGAGCAGCATCACCCCCGGGTGGTGCCAGCACAGCAATGACACCATGACACAATGACATCACCTGGAGGAGCAACAACCCCTGATCTCCCACAAAAAGTCTCCCAGCGTCACCTGCAATCCCAGATGGCTGATAGAGAAATTAACTGCAAACACAAAACTTTCTGGGAACGCTCAGTAAGACACACTGCTACCACGCTGAAATACCAGTTTCTCTCCGTTTATCTTTTGTTCTCAATCCCTACAGAGCTGTGCTTGCAGCCAGGCTCCCTCTCGTGGCTGTGACTGACAAGACGGTGCAAGTGGCAATAAGGCTTAAATCGGAATCGATGGAGTTGGAAACGACCATTAAAAGCCATCTGTCCAACTCCCTGCACTGAGCAGAGGCACCCAAAGCTCCATCAGGTGCTCAGAGCTCCATCCCCTACCTTGGTGTCTGCAGGGATGAACACCTGAGCACAGCAGTACCACCACCCATGGTGCAGTGACGCAGTGCTGACCCTTTGTTGTGTTTTTTCCTCCAGATTTCACGTGTCACATAAGAAGGATGGTTGGACTAAATCATCTTGCAGGTCCTTTCCAACCCTGTGATTCTATGATGTACTATCAGGAAGTGAAGCAGAATTTTTTTTTAAGCAAATGCAGATGATATAAAAGAATCCTAAATAGCCCTACTCAGCTATTATCCAGAATATGACATTATCTCATTTTTATTATGATGGTTGCGCTCGGTGAGGTTTAATTTTGATAGATCACTTCCAAGACGCAAGAAAGCAATTTATACAGAAAAAGCAAAGCCTCATGATTCTCTCAAGCCAAGTCTATGCTTCTATAGACTCAGGCATTGTTTGGCGTTCAGTCATTTCTATAAGGGGATGCAGCTACCTACATCTTATGCAGCAGCAGAAAAACCCCAGGACTTGGCTAGGCTGTCCTCAGTTTGCATCAAGCGTGATGCAATGAACTCTTCCAGGCCCACCCAACACAGCCCCACCCCAACAAGGCAAAGCAGTGCAGGTTTACCTGCAGTCAGTACTGCTGCAAAGTCACAGTGCCCAGGCTCTGTCCTATCAGTGCTGTCAGATGAACCCATCAACCCCTTCTGTATGGCTCTCTGAGTCACGTGCAGAGCTTTCCCACCTTATGCTCCAAGGCAGAAAGCATCAGATCCCAGCTAGGAACTCATATTGGTTTCACCATGCAGGTACTACACTGCAGAAACCTGAATGACGGCTGGCAGTGCCTGCTCTCTGCTCACATCGTTCTGGCAATGGTTACGAGACCGTAAGCAGCAGCAACTGCTCAGCAGGGAATTAAAGGCCAGGATAGTGGAAGCCTCTGCTGAGCATCGTCAAGAACGATTCTATGGCCAAAGGCTGATGCTAAGGAAGCTATCAAATTGACTCTCCAACAGTTGAAGAAGAGAATGAGTGCTAGAAGAAAAGATGGACATCTAAGGAACTATATTGCTTACTTTCATGACAGATGTGGTTTCCCTCTTGGCTAGAGACAATCATCTCTAGTTGAGTAAGCCTTGATTACATCTAGGCAAAGAAACACACGTGTTGTCAAGGAGCCTCCAGGCTAAGGGATCAGACCCACCTCACCACACAGACACCAACCCTGCGTTTTGGTAATGTTTTCCTCCCTGGTAGCCTCTCATCTACAGCTCCCTTCCTTTAAAGACCCTTATTAGCTCTATCAAGGCCCACCAAATTTCAAGTATATAGCTCAATTCAGAGCTGAAGTTGAATGAAAGTCATTCTTTACAGCGGGAAGGAGAAGACAGCAGAGCAGCATCCATCTGAAGCTGGGAGCTTGCTGCTTTTGTAGCGATCCAAGGCAACCTCTATCCCATGGTTCCTCTTCCAGGGCCTTCCAGCAGAGCGTGCTAGCTGCAAGGCAGACACGATTTAAAGAACAGGAAACATTCACACACCATGACTGGCAAAAGGTTTCAAGGGGATGTTCATAAAACCTTTGTAAGTTTGTCTTTTTGGCCTCATACAAAACAATTCAGTGTTCTGACAGGTGAGAAACAGCTGACGTAGTTAAAACACTTGTTTGGAGAGGTAACTAACAGACATTTCCCCAAAAGGAGCCACTCAAATCCAGACTGCAATGCACTTCCAAACAGCCTGACCACAGGAAAAAGCCCCGAAGCTAAAATCTTTATTCAAACCTATTTTAAAGCTACATTTGCATTTCTGAGCTGAAACATAGCGCACTTGGCTTGTCCATGCTAATTCCTGGGACATCCAATGGAAACCAGTGCCAGGATCAGTATGGTGACTGGAGTCACAGGGACACAGGGCCTCAGGGGAGTTGGAGAGACCCTGCACAGCAACCCAGCACAGCGAGGCAGGGCTGGGCACACCACACGTGCTCCTTCATCCAGCCAATGCTCATCCACTGTTGTCTTCAAAAGTGCTCCATCACCTCCGACCGCACATCACCCCAGCACTTCAGCCATCCTGAGAGCTCTCTCTCATTTCCAACATAAAGCACTGAAAATTCAGTTTATTTCTTCTTGCTTTTCCACAGTGACCACAGACATCGCTAATTTGCATTTATGAATAAACGTCTAAGGTCTCTTACGGTGGAAGGGTGAATCCCAGGCTGACAATGATCCTGTCTGTCAGTTCCCAAAAGGACAAGTAGCCCTTAAGGAATGTCACAAACACATTGCTCCACAAAAAGGAGCACAGGCACATCACCAACCAAACATTAAAAGCACACACGTCCCTTCAGTGAGGATTAGTTCAGGTTCCTGCAACACAAGAGACTCCCCCCTACCAATTATTGCAGTTACCTCCAGATTTTTGCAGAGTTCGAAGAGAACTACTGCTTTGAGAGAGGACCAGAGGCAAATTTCAAGCATTGATTCCATACTAAATGTACAGGTTCTGAGAAGAGCAATGCACTTCACTCTCTACAATCCTGTAATTAAACTGCATCATCGCTGCCAGCAAAGCTTTTATAAGCTCGATGCTGCCCTCAACAGAGCCAACAATTAACTACAGTGGGATTTAATCTTTGAATCCAGCGCTGCTGTTGCTGATATACAGCGAAAAGTTCACCTCCTCTGCTCCTTGCAGCTCTATGGACCAGGCAGAGCTAAAAACGGCTACTTTTAAAATAAAAGCCAATGATTTCACTTTCACACTGTGTGGAGCACAGGGCCACGCTCCCCTGCCTGATCCTGCCCATGGCCTCCTCAGCTGTGACCCAATGCGTGGTCGAAATGCCCACCTCTGCACCCCAGGTCTGCTGACTGGCCAGCAAAGAGAACTCAAACTGATTAACGTGCATTGTTTTAGAAGCTGTATCTCATTTTAATTAAGACTAGACACTCGCACCTAGCTCAGAGCTGTAATTACAGCAAAGCTGATAGGGGCAGATAACAGCTCACCACCCGCCAGGAGGTGCGGCGGCCGCACTGCACCCCACCCACACGAGTATCTGCGGCACTTCCTCCTGGGGCTGCAGCTTCACAGCGAGCGTGCAAGGCCAGCTCTGCCCTCGTTAGCAATTCACTTACGTGTCACAGTGCTGTGCAGGATGGGGAAGAATTGTCCTCCAGGTTTGTGTGAGTGCTGTTCACACACAGCGGGGGTCAAACCTGCGTGAGAAGCAGGACGAGGAGCTTTGTGCACGGCCTGTGCACTTTGGTAGCAGGAACTGTTAAAATGAAGACAAAGCTGCCTGGGAAGCCCCACCTCCGTGCCCTCTAACACAGGCTTACAGCAGCACAAAGCTGTCACACCTATTTTGCGAAAGACACCACTCAACACTTTGTTCAGCTGAGCTGAATCTCAGCACCAAGACGTTTGAAATATAACAACACACAAATCTTACCTGGTTCCTTAAAGCCCCCAACCCTGATGACTGCACAAACTGGACAGGTGAGGGCACCAGGACCTCCTGGCTGCACTCACACACAGCTCCGGAGCTGAGTAGGAACAGAAGTAGCTCAGTGCCACACAGAGCAGGAATATTATTGTTCAATGATTTTTTTAACTGCGTGAGAAATCAGACAGACAAGAAGCAACCAACTACATCTCAGAGCACAGTGGTCTTCATCAGCAGATGCACCCACTGACACATCATTGCCGGTCACAACAGCCCGGAGAAAGCAACTCATTTACTGCAGGCTGACTGGGGATGGGAGCCTGCCCTTCCTCTCTGTCATCCTCCTTTGAGATGGAAATGATTTCCCCATCTCAGAGAGGAAGTGGAAGCCTACCAACAAGATAAGGTTCACGCTGTTCTACAGGAGGAGGGGCATTAAGTCTGAGAGGTGACATGCCTGCCTACCCAACCAGAAGTGCTACTAAGAGAGCAAGGCTGTTTTTAAAGCTTCAAACACATTTCACATTAATACACATCTTTAGTTACAAAAGCAATACAGAAGGTCAAGTACCAAGACAATAAGTTCTAAGGAAGAAGCAGTTCTTGTTACATCTAGCCCAGATGACTCAATCACTGACTTAGCAAATGTAAGGCTTTTACAGAGCATTTAAGATAACAGCCAGCAAATAGCACTCTCAGCTGAAAGGTTTCCTAGAGAAATCTTCTGCCTCTCTGAAGCAGAGCTCCAAATGTGCTCATCAGTGAGCGAGGTGGAGAGGCCAGCACAGGGTTACCAGGAGACACGGTAAGATGACAGCAGCAGGACCTGCACTCATTGCCACCTACACATACAGAAATGCCTGTGTGAAAAAATAAGGCTATTACAGATT